TAATCTTTTAGTGGACTGCGAGTGTTGTCTGTGATTGTTTGTGATTTATCAGCGAGCGAAATGCGGCCATCCAGAAGGGTGGCGGAGGGGTAAGCAGGCCAGCATGTTGCCACTGAGCTCCGTCATAAGGAGAGGGCTTCCCACAGCGCTGCAGAAAACTTTCCTTAATGGCGAGGATGTGGCCACCAGGCTGGCGCGAGCCTTTGTGGCATGTGATGAAGGATTGGTGCAGGCGTGTCTGGATGAAGGCGTGGACCCCAATCTTTCCCTGGCGAGAGGACACACACCCCTCACTCTTCTTCTCTCCACAGCCACGTCAGACCGGTGGGAAAATTTGGTGAGGTTGTTGTTGGAAGCAGGGGCCTCGCCCCACACCCGCGACCCACGGGGAACCCCCCTACTCTCCCTACTCGTCATTGCTGGAAGCAGTGACCTTGTAGGTCTTGCGCTGGATAAAGGAGCAGATGTCAACGTATGCGGTCCTGATGGGGAGACGCCCTTGCTGGCCGCCGTCCACTACCGTAAAGTTGAAAGTCTGCGCCTCCTGTTGCAGCGCGGAGCCGATCCCAACACTACCTCCTGCGACGGAAACACTGCTCTCATGTGGGCCGCGGGACGCAGCAACGGAATAGGCATGCAGATGTCCCTAGCTTGCGTTAAAATGCTCCTTAAACACGGCGCTCTAGTGAATTTTAGAAACCCCAGAGGTTACACTCCTCTCATGGCCGCCTCTCTCATCCGAGAGAGAGAGACAGTGAAGTCGCTTTTGGCCGCTGGGGCAGACCCAGACCAGACAGATGAGAAGGGCGAAACGGCTCTCATGAAGGCTGCTGATGCTGACGATGAAGGAGTGATCGCAGAACTCCTGGCTGGCAAAGCGAGTGTCAACATACAGAGCAGGACTGGCTGCACTGCTCTAATGAGCGCTGTATCAACGGAGGTTATGACAAGGTTGTTGCAGCACCACTCTGAGCCGACGTTGGCAGCAAAAAGACGGCAACACCCCGCTGCACCACCAGGCTATGAGTGACCGACCAGAGTTAGCTTACTTACTTCTAGAGTACGGTGCCCACCTAGAAGCTAGGAACGGTCAGGGCAACACCCCTCTACAGACGGCGGTACGTTGCAAGAGCTATGCTGTTACGAACCTGTTGCTAGACACGGGCGCCAACGCCCTCGCAATAAATGACAAGGGCGTGTCCGTATTGCACGATGCTGTGTTGCCCTGGGACTACTACAACACCCACGACATATTCACCGCCCTCAACACCCCAACTCTCATCGCCGAACTCCTGCACTACTTTCGCTGTAGGTCTGACATGACGCTAACTATAGCCGAGAGACTGCTGCGGCTAGGGGCAAACCCGGGCTTGAGAGGAGAACATGGAGTCACACCTCTTATGCTCGCTGCCGCCTGCGGCAACGAGCGGCTGCTACGACTGCTGATACATTACGGAGCAACAGCGGCTTCCCGCGACACACAAGGCCGCACCGCACTAGCTTATGCTTGCAAGTGGGGCCACGCTCACTTGGGAAAACTTTCCCACTCACTCATGATATTCCCTGTCAATACTCTCGACCCCAAAAAAACAATTTACCCATCTACTACGCCGCGCAACCCCACACCCCCCTTTATTTTTTGGCCTAAAGGTCAAATTTTTGCATTTTATATGTTAGTCCGGTCTCCCCAACAGAAATGACGGGAAACTTTAGGGGCAATAAAGGTTCAAGGTTCAACTAGAACAACTACTGTTTTTCCCTCGTCGGGTTCTCTTTAGTGAATGAAACTTTTTTTTTAATAAACGGTTTTAAATTAAAATTTTTTTTTTTTTCTAGTAGTAATACTATTAAAAGGAGTAGTAGAAACTTCAAATATACGGGAGCAGAGAATTACCCATAGTTGTTTTTTGTATTGATAAAGTGCCCTTTGACCCAATGAATTTAACAAACCCCCTCCTTTTCCCTTTTCCCACCCCAAAAATGATAAATCTTCTTTTCCACGCCACCGCTGTAGGGCCCCCCAACGGGCTTGCGCACCCGGGTGAAAAAAATAAAACTTCCCAGCTTAAATTTCTAATTTTTATTTTTACTCGCAAAAAGATTTTTAAGTTTTCAAACTTTTAAATCATAAAAAAGACCAAATTTTTTTCTGGGTTTTTATCAGTAGGGTTGAAAGATTTTTAATGGTTTAGTGGTTTTGTTTTACGGGTTTAGTTAAAAAATTCAATGTTTAGTTAATACTAATTTTTATTTATTTTTTATCAGTCATTATTTATATTTTTCCGTATTTTTTATAGAAATTTTGTCTGTTTGTTGATGAAAAGGAAAAAAAATAACAGATATTCCTGTATTAAAGCCCCTTAAAAAAACATGTAAAAAAACCAAACAAAGGTTAAAATAAAAAGGGGAAAAGGGGACAAAACGTACTTAGATAAATAAGAGTGAGGAATATGGTAAATGAGGGGGGGCCCAAATCTCCTTTTCAAAAAATTCTTTGGTTTGGGGTCAACCCGCACCCTTCATGGTATGTGGGGCCCCCAGCACCCTTCTTTGGAAGTTTGGGCCCCCAGCACCCTTCATGGTATTTGGGGGCACCAGCCCCCTTTATGGGAGTGGGGCCCCCAGCCCCCCTTTATGGTATTTGGGCCCCCAGCACCCTTTAAGGTATGTGGGGACCCCCCTTCCCTGGTATTTTGGGGCCCCCAGCACCCTTTATGGTATTTTGGGGCCAAAACCCGCACCCTTCATGGGATGTGGGGGCCCCCACCCCCTTCATGGTATTGGGGGCACCACACCCCTTTATGGAAAGTGGGGCCCCCAGCACCCTTCATGAAAGTGGGGCCCCCCCCCCCCAGCCCCTTTTTTGGGAAAAAGGGGGCCCCCAGCACCCTTTAAGGTAAGTGGGGCCCCCAGCACCCTTCATGGTATGTGGGGTCACCAGCACCCTTCATGGTATGTGGGGTCACCAGCACCCTTCATGGTATGTGGGGTCACCAGCACCCTTCATGGTATGTGGGGTCACCAGCACCCTTCATGGTATGTGGGGTCACAAGCACCCTTCATGGTATGTGGGGTCACCAGCACCCTTCATGGTATGTAGGGGTCACCAGCACCTTCATGTATGTGGGGTCACCAGCACCCTTCATGGCATGTGGGTCACCAACCCCTCCATGGTATTGGGGTCATAGCACCCTTCATGGTATGTGGGTCACCAACACCCTTCATGTATGTGGGGTCACCAGCACCCTTCATGGTATGTGGGGCCACCAGCACCCTTCATGGTATGTGGGGCCACCAGCACCCTTCATGGTATGTGGGGTCACCAGCACCCTTCATGGTATGTGGGGTCACAAGCACCCTTCATGGTATGTGGGGTCACCAGCACCCTTCATGGTATGTGGGGTCACCAGCACCCTTCATGGTATATGGGGTCACCCGCACCCTTCATGGTATGTGGGGTCCCCCAGCACCCTTCATGGTATGTGGGGTCACCAAACACCCTTCATGTTATGTGGGTCACCAGCACCCTTTTATGGTATGTGGGGTCACCCCGCACCCTTCATGGTATGTGGGGTCACCAGCACCCTTCATGGTATGTGGGGTCCCCAGCACCCTTCATGGTATGTGGGGTCCCCAACACCCTTCATGGTATGTGGGGTCACCAGCTCCCTTCATGGTATGTGGGGTCACCAGCACCCTTCATGGTATGTAGGGTCCCCAGCACCCTTCATGGTATGTGGGGTCACCAGCACCCTTCATGGTATGTAGGGTCACCAGCACCCTTCATGGTATGTAGGGTCACCAGCACCCTTCATGGTATGTGGGGTCACCAGCACCCTTCATGGTATGTGGGGTCCCCAGCACCCTTCATGGTATGGGGTCACCAGCACCCTTCATGGTATGTGGGGTCACCAGCACCCTTCATGGTATGTGGGGGTTTCCAGCACCCTTCATGGTATGTAGGGTCCCCAGCACCCTTCATGGTATGTAGGGTCACCAGCACCCTTCATGGTATGTGGGGTCACCAGCACCCTTCATGGTATGTGGGGTCACCAGCACCCTTCATGGTATGTGGGGTCACCAGCACCCTTCATGGTATGTAGGTCACCAGCACCCTTCATGGTTGTGGGTCCACAGCACCCTCATGGTATGTAGGGTCACCAGCACCCTTCATGGTATGTAAGGTCACCAGCACCCTTCACGGTATGTGGGGTCCCCAGCACCCTTCATGGTATGTGGGGTCACTAGCACCCTTCATGGTATGTAGGGTCACCAGCACCCTTCATGGTATGTGGGGTCACCAGCACCCTTCATGGTATGTGGGGTCACCAGCACCCTTCATGGTATGTAGGGTCCCAGCACCCTTCATGGTATGTAAGGTCACCAGCACCCTTCATGGTATGTGGGGGCACCACACTCCTTCATGGTATGTGGGGTCACCAGCACCCTTCATCGTATGTAGGGTCCCCAGCACCCTTCATGGTATGTGGGGTCACCAGCACCGTTCATGATATGTGGGGTCACCAGCACCCTTCATGTTATGTAGGGTCCCCAGCACCCTTCATGGTATGTGGGGTCACCAGCACCCTTCATGGTATGTGGGGTCACCAGCACCCTTCATGGTATGTGGGGTCACCAGCACCCTTCATGGTATGTGGGGTAAACCACACCCTTAAATGGTATGTGGGGTCACAAAGAAACCCTTCATGGTATGTGGGGGGTCCCCAGCGCCCTTCATGGTATGTGGGGTCACCAGCACCCTTCATGGTATGTGGAGTCACCAACACCATGGTATGGGGTCATCAACACCCTTCATGGTATGGGGTCACCAACACCCTTCATGGTATGGGGTCACCAACACCATGGTATGGAGTCACCAACACCCTTCATGGTATGGGGTCACCAAAACCATGGAATGGGGTCACCAATACCCTTCATGGTGTGGGGTCACCAACACCATGGTATGGGGTCACCAACACCCTTCATGCTATGGGGTCTGGATGATGGTAATGTGCTGTGTTTAAATAAACCAGAGATACGTTTCCTTTTCCCGGAACAACCCTGATTACTCTCCCCGCCATTCCCAAGCCCCTGGCGTCGTATGGCCCTTACGGGCTTAGCGCTTGCAAATGTAAATGTTGGTACCAATAAAACTTCTTAAAAGTGAGAGTCGGTGTATCTGCTGGGTGTGCAACACACCCAGTATAGGTAAAGAACAAAAACAACAAGGAGCAGAGAAAGGAGGAGGAGGCATTCATGTTTGAGAACCTGTCTGAAGGGACCCATGAGAATGCTCTGCCCATAATGAAGAACTGTTAATTAAATGGTTCAGAAAACCGTCAAGTTAATGAGTGAAACTCCTCATCTTCCACTACTGGTTAGCGAAACATTTCCACAATAAAGATACTCAGGTGTAGCACTAGTGTCTCTGTCATCAAGAATGAAGAAGGTGGATTCTTGTCAGCTCTGAGAGGATTAGTGACACAAGGTCCAGTGGAATTCCTTGATAAGGAAACATAAAGGAAGGAAAAGATAGCTGCTGAGAGGGAATTTCAGGAATACAAGAGGAGGCAGAAGATGACAAGTGAGGCTTCATTTTCTTCAAAGACAGTAGAACTGGCGTTCTTTTCTGGTGGCCTGGTGGTTAACGCTCTCGCTTCACACGGTGAGGGCCTGGGTTCGATTCCCAGCCAGAGTAGAAACATTGGACGTGTTTCTTTCCACCTGTTGTCTATGTTCCCCATCAGTAAAATGGGTACCTGGGTGTTAGTCGACTGGTGTGGGTCGCATCCTGGGACACTGACCTAAGGAGGCCTGGTCACAGACCGGGCCGCGGGGGCGTTGACCCCCGGAACTCTCTTCCGAAAAACCCTCCAGATAAACATATTTTTTTCTGCGTCAAAAATACAGGGGAGGAGGGGGAAAAGGGGAGAGAAATAGATTTAAACCCAATAATCCACCCCAAAATTTCAAAAAGGGAGAATGAAGAAATGTGCCCCTCACCGAGGTTGCCGAAAACCCCTAAACCTTTTAAAAACCCTAAAACAAAGGGCAAGAAAGGCATTACAAAAAGGGAAAAGAACTCTTGTCTACAACCCAGAAGAACCAACGACACCGAAATCAATTTAGGAACATAAACGGGAAAAAATGAAAAAGAGCTCCATTCAGTGTTTACAGGGACAAAAGTTCATTACTATCCGCTAAATTCATTTCAAACGATTTAACCTTTTGCAGTCCTGTCAGCATCACCAATTGCCAATTTTATTGTTTGGAGCCCCAAAATTCCAAAGGGGAACCCAGTTTAAGAGTAAGCAATTGCTGTTCCCCCATTTCCCCAAAGGGAAAGGGGAAATTTGAGAGTGGGTAAATCAAATGTGCTTTGAAACGACTATCTAAAATACTGAAACATTCTAAAAGAAACAGCCCTGACCCTAGGGGGGTTTACTTTTTGGTTTTTTTTAAATAAAAAAAATAATGGACTTTCCCCGGGTTTGAAAGTTTTTTCCTTAAGAACGATTAAGGGGGGAACATTCAATTTGCTTCCCGTCACTGTGGTGGAAGTATAATGACTGGGGTCTTCAGTTTTTAAACCATGGACTCGTATCAGGTCCGAAAAGGGGCCCCATTTTTCAAGGCAAAATGGCATTT